ACAAACATGGCGGCCGTAAAGTAACAGAAACATCTGTCATTGAGTTTTACCATTGAAACGAAACGTTATTACTCTAGAGCTCCGATAAATTTAAATTAATACTTTGTCTAGAACAAGAACTGTTTAGTTAGTAAAAACTTGAGCAATAACTCATCTTTTGACTTACTCGACAGCAGTTATCGAGCCGCCATTTTAATGTCACGCAACGCATAAACTTGAAAATTCCGACGTGCTCCATTACATAATGAGGAACCCTGTCGGGCTTAAACGTTGCGAAACGTCAAGTTATTAGAGGGTCTTACATCTGATGAAACTAAAACTTCACAAGGATTGGTAATTTTTATTTTGGAAATTGATGACGTCACATGAAAACCGGCAATAGCTTGTTGTCATCAAGTCACGGTATAAACAGTCATTTTTCCAGCTTTTGTTATTCATAGCAGAAGTTTGAATAAAACGACAATTGGTTTTGATATGAGGGGTTTGTAAAATGTGACTTGACCCTTAGAGTCAGCCGGCATAAAATCGCCCGGTTGTAGTATCCTACCGTACTAGGCACGCACTATAGTACGCCCGCGTAATTTGGTGCACTTTCAGCGGGCATCACCCACACGAGTCATGTGAACCCGGTGACGAGGTCGTATTTCCATATTTTCCTTTCAGTTTCAGTCGATTTGCAATTTCCGCTTAGAGCATTGACTAGCATTACCAAACGAAAAGAAAGGACATCAAAAGACCCAAGTCTCCTGAGATTAAACACAGATCGATTGTGAGTACGTACAAATTACTACAATGTTTAACCTCGTTGACAAATTTTAATAAATTCTTGGTAGAACTCCGCCGATTTAACTAATGCGAGAGCGATGAAGAACGTGTTAGACGGAACAAACCCGATGGATATGACTTGATATAATCCTTACCGTGCACATTTTACTTTCAGTTACAGTTGGTTTAAGATTTGCTTTGGGAACAAAACGAGGGAACTTCAAATACTCTCATGAGTCCTGAGATGTAACACGACCAATTTGTAAGTACATTCAAGTCATTTATTTTGGTGTCTCTGGCAGAAGAACAGAAAATTTTAAATCTTATAACATTTAGCAAATTGATTTACCTGTCGAAAGAGAATTAGTTTAGTCAATTGTAGTCCGAGTTTACAGTAGTAGGTAGTT